GAAGATGGTAACTTGTAATTACAAAATCATATATTATATGTTAGGTTTGCATTTTATTCGAATGCATGACGCATGACGCTTCATCAAATGCTATGTTATGCTGTATTTCTGTTTTGTACCCTCAATGATTTTACGTATGACTTTTCAAAGCACCATCAAATGTCGGCGACAGTTGTCAGAGCTACTGTAAACCGCCTTTGGTATGCAGCAACAAAAAATGCATATGCTGGAAAGCTAGGCAAGTCGGCAACACCTGTGTCGTAGGTAATAACATTTTGCTGCAGCCGTTTAATCTAATACCTCAGCATTCGTTAGACTGCCCACCTCACCAGAAACTGGTCGGCCAAGAATGCCGGAGATTCTCTAGACTTTTGGAGACCTGTCGCGCTGACCAAGATTGTGAACCCGCACTTTCTCGCTGTTTCAACGGCCGTTGCGTTTGCAGAGAGAATACCATCAAGAGAGGAGACAGATGCGTTGCAGGTATGCAGATTATTGTTTTATTAGAAATTATAGAACTTACAGCTGGCACGTGATGCCACCTTCACAAACAAAGTATTATCGCATGTACCAAATATGTTATTAGATAGATATTTTATTCCTTATTTACGAGATACATCATGCGATGAATAAGTCCGCTGTCAGCTCATCGTGACAGTTTGAAACTGCGCTGTTTATGAAGCACAAACAAAGATGCGATATATGTATATAGGTTATATGCGATATATATATAGGTTTTCGTCAGCACCATCAGGTCTGGCATTGCCACAGCAGATTCCTCAGTTTCCAATAAAACAGTCCTCCTTCTAGAAGTCAGAAGAGGGAGTTTTACTGGTCATTTCCATGGTGCCGTACTAACTGTTATCTTTGCTTCTCAATGCCTCAAGAATAGCAATGACATATAGGTGACCTGAACATCATGATTACAATCATTCAAGGTTTCATCTGAAATAAAAGCTGGAAAATGCCATGCAAGGCACTGCCTTACGTCACCTTCATCACGGGATCAATTTTTAAAGTGGAAAAATAGCAATAAAGATGAAGCTTGTTTGAAAACGAATATTATTAGCTAAAATATTACATATTTCAGCATGTCCAGACGGAACTCTGGCCACGCAGGTTTGTGAGAAAACCGTTGTCGGCGACAACGAGTTCAACAAGTACTCGCAGTCGACGGACACCTGTCCCGCCGGCTATCATTGTGTGACGTACGGGAAGCCGTTGGTCGGTCATTGCTGCCGTCTGTACTGTCCGTACGGATCAGCGGAGACGAGTAAATCGTGCGAAGCCGGTGCACCCATTCACAGCCGATGCCCGATTCTGACGACCCATTTCTGCCACAGTTTCGAAAGCAACGGTGTCAGTACGAAACTCTGTTGCCCGAGGCCGTGCCGAGAGCCGACCCCGTTCTATTTCAAAGGCGAATGCTTGCCGATGTCTCATTTCCATGACCCGTGCGTGACCGATGGCCAGTGCGAGGGCGGCATGGGCTTGGCGTGTGTTAGGGGGAGATGCGAATGCTTGCTGGGCTTCGATCAAGTGAACACAAC